TGAGGAGCATCCGGAGGCTCCAGCTAGTCCAGAATGCGGCCGCGCGGGCGGTGTTGGGAGGGACTCGTCGCTCCCATATAACACCGCTTTTGCGTGAGCTGCACTGGCTGCCGGTGGCCTTCCGGGTACGCTTCAAGGTGTTGGTTACCACGTTTAAAGCGCTCCATGGCATCGGACCTGGGTATCTTCGAGACCGTCTTCTGCCGCAGATTGCCTCCCATTGACCGGTACGCTCCCACAGAGTGGGTCTCCTCAGGGTGCCGTCGGCCAAACAGTGTCGGCTGGCGACCCCCAGGGGGAGGGCCTTCTCTGTGGGAGCTCCCACCCTGTGGAACGAACTCCCCCCAGAGATCCGGATTATTCCGGATCTCCCCTCCTTCCGCCGTGCCCTCAAGACATGGCTTTTCCATCAAGCGGGATTGGCCTGGGGGGGGATTTTATAGGGATTTTAAAGGGATTTTATAATATTAAACTTAATACAGGTTATTTAATATATATTTTAATTTGGCTTTTAGAGATATCTATTGTATTGTACTGTTTTTATTTACCTTTAAGCCGCCCTGAGTCCCTCGGGAGAAGGGCGGGGTATAAATGGGATTAAATAAATAAATAAATAAATAAATCTATCTCCAGTCTACAACACAGTCCTTTCAACAATTCCAAGAAGGCTACACATCCATTTGCACTACTCAGGTGACCCTGACAACACAGGTAAGCCTCTAGATGGCATCAGTGACTCAAAGAAGGCAAATGACCGGCTGTCTGCAAGGGGTATAAATCCTTCCGTTCCCCACCATCCAGTCAGAGCTGAAGAAGCTTCTTGGATGAGAAGTGAAATGTCTTCAAAGAAAAACAAGAAAGGTTTGATTCATTGCTTTCTGACACATTGCATATATTGAATATATGTATCATTTATTTCTGTACACTATATAAAGACTTGAATGCCCTCTTCATAAATAGTTTTTGCTTTTCCCGAAACATTTGGGGTTTGTATTGTTGGGGCGGGAGGGCAAAAGCCACCTGTCAACAGTGATTCACTTTTCACCTGGTTTCTTCTCCGCTCTCAACTTGACAACAATCGGAAGGGGGGGGGGTTGAATCGCATGTGGTGGGAGTTGTTGAAAAATTCCTTGAGATCAAAATGGTGGTGCAGGAGACACCCAGGAATGCCAATAAAATTGCTTCTGCTCCTTCCCATTTGCAACCCGCCACCACACTCACTTCTTAGCTAAACTGTGGAGTTGTTATAACAATTGTCCATCTGCAATTAGAAATTTTCTGCTTCTTTGGGGAGCCATAGAAAATTCCTTGAAGTCAGACCTGTGGCCGATTTAACCCAGTCTTGCTGGCGATGGATTGGATTGCTGGCAATCAAGATCCAAGCCGGCGGGGAAAGACGCCAGAAGCCTGGCAGAAGGCAACCTCTGTGTCCTGCCTCTCAGTCTGGCTGCTCATGGCAAATGGGGAACATTCTCTCTGCCAGTGATGAAGAAGAGGCAGAATTCTGGTGCCATGGCAACCGTGTTCTTAACAGGGCTATCAACATAGCACTAAATCAGCACAGAGCCTCAGCAGAAGATCGGTTCTGCAACCCTGGGCATTGCAGAATGAAAGAGACACCACATTTCTGTCTCAAACAAAGAACGGAAGAAACTCAGCAATCACAAGACCGAGTGAGAAACTCTCTTGACCTCCGCCTACGCCCTGGGGGGTCGGGTTTCCTACCCCTCTCCTTCCAAACTCCAGATTACCAGAGGCCTTTTTTCAGCCCTGACTAATCTCTCCACCAAAGATCCTCACACTGAAAACAGCCCAGGACTCCCAGCTTCCCCCTAGCCAGAACTGCTGGGATCTTGCTGTGACCCACCCAGTGGCTGTGAATGCAGGGTGTAGAGGTCAGCCAACCCCCCCCCCCTCCTAATGCATTAGGCCACTGCAGATGAGAAGAGGCAGCCTCTTGTTTTGGAGAAAGGTGCCTTCTGTCAACTCTTATTCTTGAGGAAGCCCATAGAACCACCCCATCCACCCCAAGTAGCTAGCCAGCAGACTCAGCCTGCCTAGAAATGCTCCAAAGGAAACTGACCAGCAGCTCCCCTTGGGGTACTGGGGCTGCCCATCTGACAAAGATGCTTGGCCTGTGGGTGAGGAGAAGGAGAACTGCCCCCCCCCTTTACCTTCCCTCTCTTTGACAGGGCCAGCATATTGGAGTCCTGCTTCTCTTTGTGTTCAGCCTGCCTTCTTCTGGAGCTGGTAAGTGGAACTCCTGAGAGCGCACACCCACCCACCCACCCACACACCCACACACATTCAAGGAACACAAAGTAATGGAGGCAGGAAGTGCCTATGAGTGCCCTGCTGCCATTGCCAGATCCTGTCCAGGCAGGAAGGAAAGGAGATTGGGTAAACTGCCTTAACTGGCGGAAGTCTCCTTTCCAATCGCTGAAGCATTCTTTAGCCCTTTCATTGCTATTTCGGTGTTGCTCATTCATCTTCCCTTCAACTTTTACAGTCAGAGAAACTTTGCAAAGCTGGTTGATCAGTTGGATTCCCCTCTCTCACCCATGTTTGCCCGTTGTGTGAAATGACTGGTTATGCTTCCCAGAATTGGGATTGTCCATACAGACCATGAAAAGAAGTTTATTGATTCACTTCTATAGCTGCCCATCTCAATCCAGTAATTCTGAGCAGCAAATATTTCTAAAACAATCAAACAGTTATAAACAGTAGAAAAACAAATATATGCAGCCGCTGAGGAAATTATAATTGTCATTGGAGCCACATTCAGAGCCCCAGGCCTGGGCACATAGCCAAATTGTTAAGGCTTTATGAAAGGCCAACAGAGTTGGGGCCATCCTAGTCTCTGAAGGAGAGTCCAGAGGGCAGGAGCTATAGCAGAGAAGGCGCATCTCCTGGTCTGTGCCAGCCAACATTCCTCGGCTGACAGGACTTGAAGCATGCCCAGCCTGCCAGAGAGGATTGGACAGGTAGAAACCATGGAGAAGAGACGGTCCCTAAGGTAAGGCGCTCCAAAGCTTGTAGGGTTTAAGGGCCATACCCAGCACCTGAATTGCATTCAGAAACACACCAGTAACTAATGCAGCTGAGGCAGTAGTGGTGTTATACGTGTTGCATGTCCGAGGGCCATTGGTTACCTGTGCAGCTGCATTCTGTACAGTGGAAGCTTCCGAATGCTCCTCAAGGGCAGCCCCATGTAAAGTGCATTGCAGTAGACCAGACAAGAAGATAGGAGGGCATAAGTGACCATAAGCAGAGCTTCCCAGTCCAGAATGGACATAAATGGTGCACCATCCAAAAGGGTGTAAAGGTCCTCCTAGCCACGGCTGCCATCGGCTCTTCAAACAGAAGGAGTGAGTCCGTGAGATCCCCACATTTGACGGTGTTACAAATAAGTGGGTGCAAAGCTGGGAGGCTTTTTACGGGCATCTGGAGTGGAGTGAGAAGAGGAGGCACTGGGTGGAAGGAAGGATCAACCTTGGATCTCTTGGAAGGAAGCCGGGAAGGGAAGCTGGGAGCTCTGAGAGAGATTTTGTGCGGCACTTTAGTGAGCAATCAGAAACAAAGGTGACATTGCCAGGAAGTGCAAGAGACAAATTATAGCAAAAATAATGGTAAAATAAAGCTTTGGGCATCCCGTAGATAATGTCGGGACAATAGGGAAGAAGCCCCCAAACTTAAGGCAAGGCCACGGAGGCTCTGATGATGGACTTGCACATTTCTTTCACAAAGCTGCAGGTTGCGGCAGACAAGCCAGCTTAGTTCCCACAAACACGAGCCAAGAGGTGGCTGCTGTTGGTGAACTCCCTTGGATGGTCTCACTGCAGGATCAGGGCGGCCACGTTGCGCTGGGCTCCATCCTAAGTCAAGACTGGATCCTAAGCACAGCCTCCAGCTTCCACAGCAGGTAATGCTCAGGGGCTCATGCAAGCAAGCAAAACACAGACAAGCACAAAGACAAGACACACACACACACACACAAGCAACTTCTTAAATGAGTTTTGCCCCATTTTATGACTTCTCTTGCCACATTTGTTAAGTGAATCACTGCAGTTCTTAAATTAGTAACACAATTCTTAAGTGAATCTGGTTTCCCCATTGACTTTGCTTGTCAGAAGGTCACAAAAGGGGATCGCACGACCCTGGGACAATGTGACCATCAGAAATATGAATCAGTTGCCAAGCGTCCAAATGTAAATCACGTGACCCTGGGGATGCTGCAACGGTCATAAGTGTGAAAAATGGTCATAAGCAGTGATGGAATTCAGCTGGGTTGCACTGGTTCGCTAGAACCAGTAGCTAATTTTTTGTTGATTTCGGTGAACCGGCTGATGCCCTATCCCCATGGTGGTGAACCTATGGCACGCGTGCCACAGGTGGCACTCAGAGCCCTCTCTGTGGGCACATGCGCCGTTGCCCCACTCCTAGGCCTTCAGCTGGGTTTTATAAAACCTTTTCGCTTTCGGCCTCTGCTGTCGTATGCAAAAAAAAAAAGGTTCAATCAATCAATCAATTTCAACTTCTCGCGGAAAAAAAAAGATCTCGCAAAGTTGGATTTGATTGATTGAACTTTTTAGTCCCACCCAGTCTGCTGTTACCACCGCAGCCACGCCCACCCAATGGGCCACGTCTTCAAAGAAAAACAAGAAAGTCCAGTTGCCTCTTGAAAAAGCATCTTTGGGATAAGGTAGATGCATTTTCTCTCTTTCCTTCTTAGTTTGTATTTTCAGTTTGTTTTGGATTTGTCTTTTTATTCTGATTTTTTAAAAATATTTTGTTAATTGTGTATATTAAGAATATTTCAGTTGTCCTCTTGGCATTAGAAAAGAAACTGAAAGGGGCCCATCCAGATCCAAGTATGGACGAGTCAGGTTTTTTTCTGGGCCTCACCTCTGCCCAACTCTGTTTCTGCTTTTGACAACTACACACACAACAGCAATCAGCCAGGAAAAGCCTTTCTGTAGCCAACAACCCTTTCAGACGCAGCCTTTACAATTTTTGAAGCATGTGGGAAAATTTAAGTTTCTACCCTCAGCCAGGATCCTAATGAAAAAAATCTAATTTGACCCTGAGATTCCTGTGTCTTCTCTGCTATTTGCACGTCACGGGCTTTAAACCGACAAATTTTCCACTACTACTACCCCAACCCCAGGCAGCGGAAATTCACCTGATAAGATTTTGTTCCTCCAGCCCAAGAAATCTATCACAAAAAGGTGGCCAAGCCCATCCAGAAAAGTGACCAGGACTCCAGATTCTCTGGACAATTTATGTTTTCTCCAGTTCCCTTGCCGTGTCCTACTACCTCTCCTTTGTTTCCAGGACCCAGCTCTCTGTTCTGGCTGGAGCTTCAGATCCAAAAGGGCCTGGGGAATCTCTGGTGCCCATCCAGACCATTGTCCCCCACGAGGCCTTTGACGAGATAACCCTGGTGCACAACATTGCTCTGCTGAAGACAAGCACTCCGCTCCGTTTCAGCGTGACCGTGCAGCCCATCTGCTTCCCCACCCCAGACTTCCCAGGGGCAACGCTGAAGAAATGCTTTGTGGCCGGCTGGCTGGACCCTCGAGGAGGTGAGCCAGCTCTCTACCTGCGAAGCTCCCCCACTGCCTCAGAGGGAGAGCCGGGAGGCGATGGAGGATAGTCTGCCAAGCTTTAAAACTTCATAGCGGTTCTTTGCTGTCTTGGATCTCCAGGGGTTGGTCCTCTGCAGAAACTCCCAGTGGAAGATGTGGACCCCTGCCCCTTGCACAGAACGGTCAGCACGGAGTGTTGCAGCCACCGGGAAGGGGACCAGATGCCTGGATGCCTGGTGAGGAGGCCCTGAAGGGTGCATTAACCTCCCCGTTAATCCAACTGGGGGCTTCACTATGTTTCTTTTGCAAGCCTCTGAGGTTAAAGAAATAAGTCACATCTGTCTCTCTGGCCTTTGAACAAAATAATTGCTAAAATATGGATTTGAGATAACTCCCCTATACTGCAGAGGATCCTCTGCATTTGCGTTATAATTATACAAATGGGCAGATATTTTTGCAGTGTGCTAATTTGCAGTCATTTGCTTGTGTCGCTCCTGTGAGTAGCTGTCCATTTGTTAGGAGCCTCCAGCCCCTTCTAAGACTTTGGGGTGAGCCAGATCAGTGGTGGGATTCAAATAGGTGAACAACCGGTTCTCTGTGTGGATGCTGCTTCCGGAGGTCCGTTCTGGGCCTGGGCAGGAAAAAATCAGCTCCCGGTTCTGCCAAAGTGGTGGGAACCGGCTGAATCCCCCCACTGGGCCAGACGGCCATTTGGGCTCCTTTCTTCAAACCCCGCAGACTCCATCTTGCTCACTTGGCTGGTCCGTTTTTCTCCTGCTGGGGTGCTGAGCACCCCTGAGATGTCCACCCTACAGGGGGAGTTGGGCTCCATGAGGTCAACTAGTTGTGCCTCAGATGGTCCAAAAGGGCCTTGAATTGTGATCTGTCTTCCCTCCAAGGGGTCAGCTGGCAACCCGGTCCTGTGTGAGGCGGAAGGCAGGCAGGTGCTGAAGGGCCTGCTGAGCGAAGGGGGCGCCAGATGCTACGGACCCTTCCTCTACAGCCGGCTCATCTACTACAGTGACTGGATCGTGGCCACCACGGCCAGATGGAGGGCTCCAGCTTCCCCCTTTCCTGGCCAAAGGTATCAGGCCTTTGGGGGCCCAGCAGCAGAGGAACGGGAGGGGCTGCTGTTCGAGCCCTTTTTGGATCTGAGAGCCCTGAATGTCTCCGGTGGCTCAGAAGACCCCCTCGGCCTGGACCTTTCGGAGGAGCTGGAGGAGAGTGGGCTGGGCCCCCCCAAAGGGCCAGTCGAGGCACGAGCGAAGCTTCCACTCTACTACGACTACTATGGGGGGGAGCTGCTCGCCATGTCTTCAGCAAAGCCCGGTCATCCATGGCGGCTGCAGGGCCTCCTCTGCATGGGCCTCCTGCTGCACCTCCTGGCTTCCTGAACCACTGGGCAACCAGACTATTCCTGGGCCCCGAGATCAGATTTCTCTTGGGAGATCCTCCTGCACAACTAACCTTTATCCATAGAGTCTCCTTGCTCTATGAGAGGTTGGGACATCATGAGAGGGAAGAACACAAAGCATCAAAACCTGGGAAGCTTTATGAGAGCCTGCAGGACAGAAAATCCTGGGATTTCTCTGCTTGATGGCGTTGCCCTAGCCCTGACTCCGGATCTGCCTTTCCACTTTTTCTCAGGCTCTGGCAGAGAGATCCTCCGAGTAAGCCAGGAGGCGCAGCCGTCCATTGTCTGCTGGTGATTGCGCTTTGAGGGCCTGTCTTTGGAAAATGTATCGCATTAAGGCTTCACCCCCCCTCCAGTTCCCAAGATGCTGAATTTGAGCCCAGTACGCAGGGAGTCTGAATATATTACCACTCCTTTTACTCATTACCATATTGCTGAGTGATTTGAATATACTTCATAGCTCTGTAGTCAAGCAGTTCTATCATGATCCATTAATATCTTAAAAACAGATCAATTTATTAAGCCACTTTACAAAACCAGTCTGTAGAGGCATAAACATGCAACATGGAGAAAGCTTTGTGCCTGTCCAAAGTTTGCCCTGGTCTGGCCTGGGGGAAGGAGCTGAGGATGAAGCTGTTCACCACGACGATGGGGCTACGGACGCAGCAGATGGGCGACTGAGTTTCTCTCCCACTCTCCTCATTTCTCTAGTGGCCCTGTGGAGAAAAGAAGCTGGGGGTGACTTTAGCTCAGCTGTGCCGCTCTGCCTCCCAGCCCTTTCTCTAAAGGAAAGAGACCGTGGGTCAGGAGAGGGAGAAAATACCACAGGGGGGGGGGAGAGAGGGCCCAAAGTGAGACTAGAAAGAGAAATGGGGGGGGGGGGGGCTCAGACACCCAAGAGGCAATGGAAAGACATGGAAGCCCCCCCTTTGCTGAGGAGGCTCCTGGTCCCATCCAAGGCCAGGCGAGGGTCCCCCTGCCTCACCTCTGTCGCTTTGTGTCTCTCCTGTTCGGGCAGAAGAGCCTGCAGCTGGTGACTGGCCATCTTCGCCTTGTGCCAAACGTTGCGGTAGCTTTGCAAGGCCATCTGCAAGAGAGGACAGGAGGAGGGGGGAATGGGCAGCCTCCCCTTCTCACACAGCCCCTCCTGGCCTGGAGGAAGGGCAGAGTCCACCTGCCCAGGAATCTCCACCTCTGGGGGGGGGGGCTGATGTGGACTGATGTGCATATTTGAGATTTTCACAACCCACTATGCATGTTCACACAAAATGGCTAGCAGATAACCATTAAAATAATTTGCCAGAATCTTACTTATCTGCCCCTATGGCAGAATATTGCAGATCACCCTTTTATTTTTTTCCCAGGTATGAAACAATTTCCAAACAAAGCACAAGTTGCAGTGCCCACTATTTTTATTGTCCGGAAAGGCCCTGGCCTGCCTCAGCCTGCTCCTCCCCATGTCCCTCCATCTCCCTCAGCTCCAGCTCCAGCTCATCTTCCTCAGCAGATTCAGGCTCCGAGGGGGACGTGACACCTAACAACAGAGGCTTAAGCATATTCGTTTATGTGATTTTCCCATGATCTTTAGGCATTTTCTCCAATCATGATTTTTGGTTTTCTTCAGCCAGATGCCACAAACTGTCTTGTGGCACATCAACTAGGTTGTGTTCCTACGAAAAACACGGTCGAGCATCAAATGTACTTCCATCCAAAAGTGACCCACCTCTGCAATTTCCACCTTCCTCTCCCAGATCCTGAGGGTGTTTTCTAGATCGTGAACAGCCACCTTCTCATGAACATAGTTGAGAACAGGAGGAACTTTGTATTCTGCCAGTTGTCGCCGTAGTTTTTTGTTCAGGATCTCAGCCTTTACCCGTTCCTGTGAAAGAGACAAAAGTACTCTGAGAGGTTTCTGATCTTGGCCTTGATCTTTTGCCTACCACCGGATTAACCTTAACTGGGACTCAGGATCTTTACACGGAGAAAAAGGATTAAACCCATCTGCCCTTATCTTGTTGCTTCCTTAAATACTGAGACCATTCCTGCTTCTTTGAAGAAATTACATTCATAGTACACTTCATGGGTTCCTAGGAAAATCTACTATTAGTGACCAGGGAATTTCTACACCGTCTCCGTTTCCACTTCCCGACTCTTTGTAAAGCAGTTTGAAAAAGTTCAACTGTCTTCCCTTCTGCCAACACAGAACTGCTGGGAAGAAGGACTGAAAACCACTGGCCTGCTCCCGGTGGCCTCTGGTCTTGCAAATACAGCCATCCCTGCCCCCCTTGAAGAAACTGGAGCAGCGGCCCCAGTACAGGAAAGGAGGAAATGGATGTTCACCCCTCATGGTTAGGCCTCAGGCTCGCTCCCTTGAGCAACTGCGCAAGAGACGCCAGGCCCTCCAGGCCACTTGTGGGGTGGGGCAGCCGAGCTCCCTCCAGGGACCGAGTGGGCCACCCCAAGTCCCACAGGGCTCCAGCGCTTCCAGCTGCCAACTGGCTTTGGGGCAGTTTTTTTGCATCCAGCCTGAGCCAGAAGGAAATCGGCTGATTGGGCAAACAGTGGCAGTCCAGGAAGGGAGCAGAAGTTCCTCAGCAGTAAGTAAACCGCTCCATCTTCAGAGTGGAGAAAGCCACAGCTTCTGTTGCTGAACAGGCACCGTTTCTTTTTAACTAAAGGAATTCTGCTTTTCGATTATCAAAATTTGCCCTCTACGGTTTTTAACATTTTATTCACACCCCCGAAGCATGAAAGATGGTGAAGCCAACCCTTCCAGGGAGGAGTCTTTTCATTTCCTGCCCAGGAATCTTTGGTTTGTTTTAATTTTAGGGCCTGGATTTGTCTCCCGTGGAACAATTTGATCTACACTGATTGAGGTAACTGAGGAATCAAAGGCAACTGTTAAAGCAAGTAAAAAAGTAAAACCACGGTAAAGGTCAGCTAATCAGATGGCTCTAAATGTCCCCTGGAGGCCACAAGGTCTTTCTCCTCCTGGCCCCTGCTGGAGACCCCTCTTCCCCTACCTCTTCCACAAGGATGGCCTCGTGAGCAATTTTCTCCAGGGATTCCTTTCTCTGCGCAATGTCTTTCACCAGGTAGGCAGCCATGGCCGTTGCATAATGCAGCTTCCTCTAAAATATAACACGACCCAGAGGGTGACATCCTTGTCAAAGTACAGAAATGTGAATGTATCTTGGCTGGACAAAACCTCCTGCGAGAGGCAGAATACAGGACGGACTCTGCTTGTTTGGGAAGGGGTGGCAGCGTGAATACTCCCCCCCCTCAACCCCTTTCAAGTTCTACCTTTTCCGCCTTTCATCCCAGGAGCACCCTTAGTACTTGCCTATCCTACACCAACACTAATCCCTCCCACGGGACGGGGGGGGGAAGCCACGGTCCTTTTGTGGCTGACCGATGGGGGCCCATACGTGATGCAGGGATGGAGAGCGTGTGCTAGGTGGTCTTTCAGGACCCTCTCAGCAGCCCTCTTGAGATGAAGGGCCGGACGGAGCCAGGTAGACTCAACTGTCTTACTTTGTAGAAGTTGAGGATCTGCAGGGTGTTGCCAACAGTCAGCTTCAGTTGCAGTAACTCTTGGTTTCGCTCATCTATTTTCTCCAGGAACTGAGCATTCTCAATCTTGAGCTGCTGGAAATCAACCTCGTGCAGTGCCTCTCCCAGCTCCTCCTTCTGCAAGTCAGCCACAAATTGTGATGGACAGGCACCCATTTGAAGCATTTCAGAGCCAGCCCAGCCTGACCAGGCTGCAGAAAGCTGGGGCAGCCCTGGACCTGACCTTTGGCTAGATCATTCTTTCATTCATGCTCCACTGCAGTAAAGTCAAATTTGGATAAACACAAAGGGGTCTCAACTTCCAGAAGAGCTGAGGAAAGCGAGAGAATTTCTGGAGTGGGGTAAAGGGAGGGCAGGAGGATAGTGAGGTAAGTGACAGCACAACTTTAAAGTACAGACCCAAACATGTGGTATGCAAATGCATTGCGCGTCTGTCCTGCGACAGCTGAGGTTAGGTCAGGTTTTTAGAGAATTTTATTCAAGTCTTAACTATTCTTGGTTAATTTTAGCTCTGGTTGGCTTTTTGTGGTTAGTTTACTTAGTTTGGGTTACTTTTTAAGTCCATTTGGCTAGTCTGCCCTGCTCAAACTGTCGCTTTACTTTTTCCCTTGGTATCCCAGTTCTGAACATAGTCTCAATTCAAGGACAATAGATGGAATGAATAACACAATAAGAGTTAGAAGGGACCTTGGAGGTCTTCTAGTCCAACTCCTTGCTTGGAACCCCAAACCATGAAAAATAGATGAAATCCTCTCAACTTGCTCAAGCACTTTTGTCATTAATTTGGCCTTGGATCTGGCAATCAAATATGTTGGTTATATTATGGGAGTTAAACTTACATTATTAATAAATATAGGTATTCTATAGCTATCCTTGTGGTTATAATGTCCAAAACATTGTGGTAAATTTTATTTTAATTAACTAGAAAAAGTCCAATAAACTTTAAGGCAAAACAGTGGATTTTGTGGATATGAAGGAAAATAAGTTAAATTAATATTGGTATGATTAGGTATTTGAGAACTCCACAAATTTACGGAAGACGACTAAATGTTATTAAAATGAAACTTAGTTTAAATAATATGTCCTATGATAATTAGTCTTAATTACTCAACAATCTGGAATTTATCAACTTATGAAGAACTTCATCTTATCAATCTTGAACTCTAGCTAAATTTGCAATTAAGTTCTGGGGCAAAAGGGATTATCCTCCAGAGCTGAAATTCTGGGTTGAAGGAAAATGTTCACACTACCAACCTCTGAAGCCAAATGACCAGAATGCCGACTTATCCGATTCCACTGTTGGTAAAGCTCAACTAGTTGTTTTTATGCATTTATTTTAATACATGCACATCTTCCTTAGTTGGATTCCCTCTCCTAATATTTTTTTGTCTTTTTTCCCCTTTGTCTGCTTGCTTTCTGTTTGAGATTTTTAAAAGCATCTTCTACATATATATATATATATATATATGTAATCTGCAGAGTTTTTATTTTTTCTACAATATATAAAAAATTAAAGGCGCGTTTGCTGGCATGGTCAAGAATGGGCTATACCTGCTGGAGTTGCATCTGCATCTTCTTCTTCTGAACTTTTAGAGAATCGTTTTTCAAATGAATTTTTTCTTTCATAACATCCTGAAAAATAAAGCAACCTGACTGATTTTTCAGATTTCTGCTTCCATTGGGAAGATCTCTTTCCCACCCGTATTTGATCCAAATTTCCAGGATGTATTGGGGACCTGGGACAGATTTCCACACCCTGGTAAGGCAGAAAACCGTCTGTCCAGACTGGGGCTTGTGTCACATGAACCAGGTACCGAGTTACGCTGGGTTGTTTCAATTAGACAGCCATGTGCATTGAATGAAAGAAGTAAATATAAATAAGTATATCAAGTCATGTGGCTTTGAACATGGTGAAAATGAATCTTACTTACAAGCCAGGACCGCCTTATTTCAGTCATCATATATGACAAAGGAAATCTTTTAATTCTGCTATAAAAATATAACTACCACAATATTTTCTGAGTTTGGGAAGTAGTTACAATGTCCTTATTTTCTATGAAATAAAAATATATGAAACTTATTTAAGACTGGAGAGAGAACTGGAATTCATGAAACAGAAACCAAGTATACCTTAAATGAATGGTTTGTCTTATGTTTTCATTTTCTATGATACCGTGATTTGATTTGATTTGATTTCCTCAATACTGTGAGGAGGACAAGGCGTGATGTAAATGGCAAGGACATTCTTTATTCCCAGACAGATTGCTTGCAGCAGCTCATGGATTACACTACTTTGCACAGCTTATAAATTTACATGTCAATTACATGTAAGAGCTGCATTCTCATTCTGGGAAGGTGTTTCAGTAACTTTAAGGAGTGATGTCGGTTCCTCAATTATTTGGAAGGCTTAAAGCACCCTGAAACTCCCAAGCCCAAACTTCTGACTTCCCTCAGTTTGGATCCCTGAAAAGAATGACCCCACTTTTTGCACATTTTATGGCTCCAGTGGGACTTTCCCATCTCTCTGTGCTGTGACCTAGAGGGAGAGAAGCTGTGACTACCATTCGGATACAGCTAAATCAAGAAGTAAAACGGCATATTCTATTTATTTTGTTTTGTTGCTGTTATTGTTGTTTAATCAATTTATATTACCACCCAATTCACCAGTTACAATTCTAGGAAGCTTACATAGGATTAAAAAAAACACAAAAAATAAAAACAGAGCGCAAAATACATCCAAGGCCATTCACAGGCATAATCTCCCCTATCATAAAAATGGCCTCATCTAACCCGCAGTCTTGAGAATTCTGTGATGTCTGAGCCACATCGCTTGCTTCCCTCCTGATGTCCTGTATACTTAATAATGGAGGATCAAGTAGGCAGGGGATTCCCAAAATGGCAATTATATTTTTATAGAGCTTCATAAAGGGAAAGATTATTTATTTTTGAGAATAGTCTAATAAAGAAACAATAATTCAATATTTCTCTGAAGGCAATGACTATTACAGATATCTAAATATGTTTCATTGTTCGGCACATACCAAAGATCAGGAATACTATAGGAATGCCTATGGAAAAGAGATCTTGTGTCCACATTCATCAATGTCAATATAATTTATAAGAATAAAATGAGAAGAACCGACTAACTGCCAATTTTCTCTACTGACCCTAGAGCGAATCCGGTCCTCCATGTATCGCAGCACCTTATCAGAGGCAATGACGCTCCCTTTCTTCTTAGTTATGGTTTTGACTATGTCTTTGTCAAACTCCATCATAGCTCTCTTAATTTCAACCAAGCGAATATCTGCTTCCTCTAGGACAGCCTGCAGAATACATTGGAAATAATAAGTAAATGATATATTTCACTTATTTGCTCGTGGAGGGCAGGCCTTGAAGCTCAAACCAGCCAGGCAAAGCGGACACTCCTACGTGTAAGCCACCACCGGCAGCTCTGGCCACAAAGAACGCCTGGCCTTGCTACAGCTCAGGGATGGGGGACAACCTGCCACCCTCAAGACAGTGAAGTACAAGTCCCTGGACCTGGTGACACGGGCTGGGAAATACAGTCCAGCCCAGGGTTTCTCAACCTTGACAACTTTAAGATTTGTGGACTTCAACTCCCAGAATTCTCCAGCAGCCTACCTCAAACAGCCATTCTAAGGGAAATGTTACCAAGTAATTCTGCAAGGTCCTTTCTGAGTTCTCCTTCATCAGCTGCAGGCCTTCCTTTGTCTCGTCCAGCTCCCGCTGGACCAGGTCACATTTCTGTTCCACTGTCAGGCAGATCACACGATCGGTTGTGATGCGGGACTTTGACTTGCGCCTGCTCCGCGGCTATAACCCAAAGGCACCGTCTTTAGTCACATGATCCAGCAAAAGCCAATTTTTTGGTATTTTAATCTTAGAATTTGCCAAACTAGTTTTTAGCTTTCCTTTTTCTGATTCAGTATTAACTTTTTGATGTCTTAAGAGACACTGGGTACAAATATGACTTAACATCTCATCATAAAATCTCAACTTAGAAAAATATTTTCAAACATAAACATGGAAACAACCAAAACAATTCATTCAACTCCAGCAGCAGCCTATTTTGTTCTGGGCCCAACATGGAGGATTAATCACAGGTGTTAAATTTATCTACGGCAATACCTAAAAGATGTCTTGCTGACGATGGAAGGGAACAGAATAATCCTGTTAATGGCTTGAGCTCTACGTTGAGCCCTAACCCTTCCTGCTCTGTTATGCTGCTGCCACAATCTCACTTGTATTTACCCTTGGAGAGGCGACATAATCAACCTTTCTGCTCCACTGCCAGGGGCTCCAACATGGGTTGGGTGCTCAGCAGGCACTTAATCAAATGTTCAGGGGACTCTGATGTTCCATTTCTCACCCACGTTACTTATGGATAGCTGACCAAGTTTGAGAAATTACCCCATCTGGAATTTAGTAGAATTCAAACCCTAACCCTAACCCTCTCCTTGCTGAGGAAAAATGTTGCAATAATCCGAACCTTACCAGGAACTGCTCCCACCCCAACCGTGTTGCACAAGGGACGGGTGAACCTGAGTTCAATCTGCTCTCAGCTGCCTAATTTCTCAGCCCAACTGATTTCACTGGGCTGTTGTGGCAAAACAGAACAAAACAAAAGCCCTTATGTGCCACCTTGAGCCTGTGAAGGAATGGCAACCTGAATCTAGCAAACAGAGAAGGCTATCACTAGATTGTGCTTTCCAAAGGATGGGGAATCCTTAACAGGAGAGTATGTGTTGCATAGCCTTTTCAGCAGCGCTTGAGAGTCACATTAAAGCAAAGCAACAAGCTAAGGAAAAACTGACCATCTCTGCTGCACTGCCAGATGGACCTTTCCAGAGCTCCTCCCGGGCAGCCAGACCCGACTTCTGACCTGTGCTCCACCTGCCCTGTTCTCGGGATCACCTGAGTTGGACAGATTTCATGGGCTGCAAAGTGGCAGGAGCAGGGCGGAGGGGGCCACTAAAGTTAGGCTAACATGAATGGGTTGGGATTGCACTGCTGAAATGCAGATTCTGACTGCCATGGAGAAACTATATATGAGTGAAGGTTTTGGAGGAAAGATTTAAGATAAGGCAAATCTTAATAACTAAAGTAAAACAATAAAAATATAGTGTTTCAGGGTGAATTGGCAAACGATTTAACAGTGTGGAGGAGTAAAAGAAATGAAGATAAGTGTACCCAAGTATTAGACGAGCAAACAACTTAACCAGGTTAGCAAAAAACGTAATGGTTGCATTTGCACAACATACTTAGTTTAGTTTTCACTTTGACTGTGTTTTAAATCATAAGACATGTGTGAATGCTACCTTTTGTGTTGGGCAAACAAAGACTACGGATACATTCAGTAACCAGTAAGCATGTGATGTCATTTGGAAACCTACCCTATCACTAAAATTGCAGCACAGTAAATTATTACATAGCTTACATATGGTGCTTGTCCCAAGTCCAGCAATGAGCCATGTCTTTCTGCTCCCAAGTCTTTTGGCTCCAATCTATTGAAAAATTTCTCAAACATTTCTGTTTCAATTTTGAGCATGGAGTTGATGTGGCTGAACACAAAGAAAAACTCAGTGAGTACATCTATAGTACGCATGTGGCTCGTCTCAAATGAGAAAAGACGCCAGTAGCCCTTGAACAAATTCTGAGAGACACGGAGTGTGTCGCAGGCGGCCCGGGGGGGCTCGGGCGGGAGCGGCTCCGGCCAGCTGCACTTCGGGGGCTGCAAAGGCTCCTTCGCTGCGGCCGTCCGGGCCCCCCCGAGCCGCCCCGTCCTTCCCTGCCGCCGGCGGGGCGCACCTGTTCTCCTCCACCAGGGCCAGCAGCTGCTCGGTGGAGAGCTGGGCCAGCTCCACGTGCAGCTCCTCGGCCCCCTCGTGCGACTCGCCCGTGTGGACGCTGTCGCGCTCCGACTCCTCGTCCGCCAGGGCGGTCCCCGAGACGCGGCCCAGGCCCGGCGGCCAGCAAACCGCCTCCCCCGGCCCGGCGCAGGACGCGGGCCGCCCCTCGCCGCCCGGGAGCCGCAGGAGGGCCCGCGCCGCCAAGGGCGCCTTCTCCCCGATGGGCTCCATGCCGCCGCTGCCTCCGCCGCGGGGAACGGGCCGGGCCGCGGGAGCGCCTCTCCTGCCCGGCGGCGGTTGCCGGGCGGGGCCGCGGGCGGCGTCCGGCCGGGCGGGCACTTGCGAAGCCTCGGAGCCGGTCGCCCGGCCCGGCCCNCAGCGCCGCATCGAGCCGGCTGGCACCGCGGGTTTCCTCTCGCGCGGGGCGGGCTGGGCCGTGTTGCCGCCGCCTTTGCCGCGTCCGGTGCGGCGGCCAGCGCCGCGGCCAGGCCAGAATCGCCCTTCCCCCGCCCACGGCCGCCCCGGCCTCCCCGCTCGGCCCGGCCTGGCGCCGCAGCCCCCGCTCGCCGCGCGCGCCTCGGGGCTGCTGCCGCTGCTGGCGGAGCTGCTGAGCCGCCGGTGGTGCTGCCGCTGCGCGCCGCCCCGCCTGGGCGCGACCCCCGCCCGCGGGCACCGCCTGCTCCTCCTCGTCGCCGCGCCGCCGCCCGGCCCCGCCATGCCCGGCCCGGCCGCGGGGAGCAGGGCCCGCGTGTACGCCGAGGTGAACGGCCTGCGGAGCCGCGAGTACTGGGACTACGAGGCGCACGTCCCCACCTGGGGGTAAGCAGGCCCGCGGGGGGTCCGGAACAGGCCCAGCATCCCGGCGCCGCCCTCGGCCTCGCCCCGGAGTCGGAGCCCGTCTCTCCTACGGAGGAGCGAGCCGAAGGAGCCGCCCAGCGCCAGGGCGGGGGCGGCGGGGCCACGGGGTCCAGGACCGGGGCGGCGGGCATCGCGCTGGTGGGGAAGCCCCAGAGGCAGCCTCCGCCCCGCCGGGTCGGTTTCCAGGGTGGTGATGCAAGTCCACGGGACGGCAATTGGGCGGGAAGGGCCTCGGGACCGCCGCGGGGGTGGCCCGGGGCGCCCGTGCGGGACGGGCAAGAGGGAAGGCGAGAAGTTTCTGCAGAGCTTTCTACAAAATGTTTGGGCAAAGGCTCCTCAGGATGGGCAGCGACAGTCTAATCAGTGTAATAAATCAAGTAGTTCTGAAAAGTGCAACATGTCTTGACTTCTAAAATAGGCTGGGCTATGAATTGATCAAACAGCACTGAGCAGATCCCGGGTGTCAAAAAGCGTTTGTAGTTTTGTCTGAACCTCTTTGACGGGGTGTGAGGCGAAGGGAGGGTCTAGCTTGGCATTCCCTGCGGGCACTTCCCAGATGCTCTGGGCCAGCAGGTCCAAGCCCACAATCCTTAGCCAAGGTGGAAAAGGCTAAGAAAAGGCTGTTGATAATCTAGACAGTGCTGTGCAGTTTTAAACATCAGTTCCGTAGCAGAAATGAGAATTCTTCTGTGCTGCTGAGAAGTCACAGCTTTCCTCTCCAGGCTCACTGTGGCCCTCAGAGGGTGCCAGATGAATTTGTCCCCATCCCATTTCTCTGCTAGGCACTCCTTTATTTCCCTTTCCTCCCAAATTAATCTTGGGGATTTGTTCTTGCCCTTTTCACAGTGCCTCTGTTTGAATCCTTCTCCCCCATATCAGTTCCCTTTCTTCTCCCTACCAGTCAGTAGCAAACATGAAGGGTAAGAAGCCTGAGAGGTTGTGGGCTGTCTTCCTCCTCCTTTCAGCTTGTGGAATTTGTTTATTTAAAAAACTTTTATAGATACCCATCAAAAACTTCTATAGACACCCACAGTAAAAAAACGTAAAAACCATCATACTGACGGGTGGTTGTAGAATTCTCGTTTTCAGCGAGAACAGTCAAGTGAGCGCATATAGAAGAGACATGACTGTCGCTCACCTGCAGATGCCTTTTTTCTAGTTCCTCACTTTGAGGGAGCAGAGGATCTCTCAGTCAAGTCACTTCTCAGTCATTTTCCTCCCTTACTGTTTGCAGTAATCAAGACGATTATCAACTAGTTCGGAAACTCGGCCGGGGGAAATATAGTGAAGTCTTTGAGGCTATAAACATCACCAACAATGAGCGAGTGGTTGTGAAAATTCTTAAGGTGAGTTCTTATTGGATGCTTATCATGGAAATTAGGAACAAAATACATGGATATCTGGTTTTCCTAGTATTCTGCAACAGATTGGTATACAGGTTGTCCTCCATTTATGACTGGCTGTAGTTATGACAGCCATAGAAAGGTGATTTTTGGCCTGTAAAAGCATTTCTGGGCATCATAAATGTCCCACTCGCGTTTCAGGTGCTTGGCAACCTGTTTGCATTTGCAACCAATTGCCAAGTGCTCTGCAATCATATCATGATTTGCAATTCTCCCTGACAGCTTGTGGAGGGAGGGCAAATCCTTCTGCACACTAAAAGAATGGACCTCAAATCTGATAAAAATGCTAGCAAAGCCAGCATTCTGAAGGACTCTGGACTTTTTCAGAACTCTGAGGTGCAGAACTTTTCAGAATGCTGGCTTCGCTAGTGTTTTCCTCTCCAAAAGAGAAAACATTAGTGAACGCCGTCCTCTCACAATGGTTCAGAAGGCCCCTTCTCCAAATTGTGTAATTTGGGGAAGGAGCCTTCCGAAACAACCCTGTAGAATGGAGCATGGCAACAGAAAGGTAAGTGGACCCACACCTGTGGGTGGGCAGAGTGTCAGCATGCCAGTGGGCCTAGTTGTCTAATGTCTCACATGCAGGCGCTGAGCCTCCCCCCACTGATGGACCCCAGACTGTCACTTAACAGCTGCAAGGGGAGAGCTCAAATGTCATTTGTCATGTGGGTGCCTTGATTAATGATTACAGGCGACCAAAATTCCAGGCTCAATTGTGGTCATAAATTGAGGACTACCTTTAGTAAATGAGCTCTCATTTTGAATGCATATTGAAGTGCTGGTTTATACCTTTGGGTGTAGAAGCTTTTATGACAGAAGTATTTCTTCTGTTTAAAAAAAGGTAAAAGCGAATTTGGAACACTTCTGTGAAGAACAACATTTTCCAATTTGGAATGACATTATACTAGTTTAATTCAATTTTATTCAGTTATAGGCAGTACTCTGTGTAAAATAGCAAATGTCAGATATATTAAAAGGAGAAATGCGTGGCTAATTGCCTTTCAATATGGAAATAATCAGAACTTAATTATGCCCAGAGTTTTCCTATGACAATGAAGATTGAACAAAATTTTACTACCTTTTTGAGGTTTCTGAAGATTTATTAGTTAACAGAAAATAAACATTCTCTTTCATTCTGCTCATATTAAGAATAATCATACTTGGTGGAGACCATGTTAAATTGGTCGGTAATTCTCTCAAGAATGAAAATTTAATACTGCAGAACTGTAAATTAGGAGATCATGGGGATTTTGAAAAGGTAGATTTTCTCCAGAGGGTTAATATAATTGTGAAACATCTTTTTTATGTAAATATAACTGGCACTGACATTATAGTAGTTTCAATATTAGCAAAATGCTATTTAATTGGATTATTGTGCTGGATGTCGTAGTTCAGTATATGCCTAAACATCTCCTTTTATATCCCTGTCCAACTTAATTTGAAAGCAAAATATATCTAAAAACATTTCAGCCCAGCATGGTGAGGAAAATCTTCACAATCTTTTCAGCAAAGCATTTTGTAACTACCCAAGCCAATGATTACAAGTCATTGTGGGGGGAAGGGTCCCACACAGACCCCAATAGCCATGTTGTGAAACTGCTTCTAACTTGTTTCCCCAAATTCCAGAATGTGTAATATTTATTAAAATAAAATGGCATTTTTAGTTCATTTAGTGTGCAAAATGAAGGAACAGAAAGAAGCAGCTGCTTTTGTGTGCCCTCTTTTTTGATGCAGGTAGCCCTCAATTTAGCACCACAGTTGAGCCCAGAATTTTGGTTGTAAGTTTGGGTGGTTGTGAAGTGGGTCATCACATGATCTGATTCAATTTTATGACTCTTCATGATGGTTGTAAAGCGAATCACCACAGTTGTTATGTGATCTGTGTGATTGTTAGGTGAGCCATTTGTGAGATGGAATGTCTTCCTGGAGAAGAAGTGGGGGGAGGGGAATTCTGGCAAGAGAACCAGGAAAAAAGCAGCATATTCCAGAGAGATTAAGAGACGCTGCCCCGGCCCAAATTGGATGGCGGGGGAAGGACGAGGTTAGGATTAGCCACACTGGAGAACCTTTCAGGATGTGTCTGCTAGGTGAGAAGGTTATCAGTTAGTCTGGTAAGTTTCTGTCCATTGGTATAAGCAAATAAAGGATTGGGGTTGATGGGATTTCACTGTGTCATCTTTGGACTTGGCCCTGACAATAGGGCTGCTAAGTGAATCCAGCATATCCTTTGGATGTTTTCTATCAAGAGTATAGCAAAAAATGTCATAAACCACGATCAAATGAGCCCAGGACTCATTGGAACTGGTAAATTGTAACACGATTGGAGTTGCAATTATAAATGCAACTGCTCTTAAATGCAAGCCAGTTGCCAAGCAGCTGAAATGCGATCATGTGACCACAGGGGTGTGCAACTTTACAAAGATAGGATGTATTTTACAGGCAGTAAAGAACTGTTTCCGAGGCTGTCATAACTTTGAATGGTCATTAAGCAAGGATTTACCTGTACAAGGTTTGTTACAGACCAAAAGTGTTTTCAAAAGAGGCACAAAAGTGGGGAGACACTATTTTTCAGCCCCTCATACCTGACTTACTAGGGATTCACAAAGTCAGTTCCTGCAGTTGCCATCTAGATCTTGAATTTTTCAACTGTATTTTCTGCTTTTCTGCTGCACCTGATGGAGGGAACTGAGGAACCCGAGACCCGAGTGCTCTTTTGTGCTCTTTTGATTTCTCATAATAACAGTATTGCTCAATTGAAAGGAGTTGCTTCATTTTTCCTGGTGGGTCATTTCTGCAATTTGTTTTTAACTGCTCAGATTCTGGCTATTCCGACCAGACCACCAAAAGAGCAGCTTGCCCTGAATTGCTCTGTGTTCTGCATTTGGACTCATCCTGTGCAGCCCCCGCCTCTCCACAGGCCTGAATCCCTGATGTTGTGAAAAACAGTTGCTTTTTCTTGGTAGCAGCCCTCATGCCTCCACGCTGGTGATTTTTTATGTGAACATGGTGGTTTGTGCTGAATTAATTGGAGTTGGCACTGAGTAGAGCTAAGAGATGGAATGCCAGGCTTGCAGAGATTCAAAAGTAGAAGTCACGTGGTCTCATTTTTCAGCTTCACACAAGCAGATGGGCTTTGTGGTTGGAGTTTTCCAGTCTTATATAGCTATCATGCTTGAGAATCGTTATGGTAGTAGGGAGTGGCAGATGGGTTTTATCTCCATATCTGACAAAACTGTTCCCATTATGAGATGGGGAACAGTTGGCCTCAAAAAGTTGTTTATTTATTATTACAGTTTATATAGCTAGCGGCTCATCTCATATAAATGACCAGAATACCATTAAAAATGATAAAAACAAAAGCATATTAAAAATCATCATAAAATAAAATTCATAGCTGAGATAACCCCATCGCTACAACCACTGTGATGGCTCGAGTCTTTTCCTATCATTCATTCAGTAATTAATTTGTTTCTCTTTTACACGCTTGCACGCCACTGGAAGGAAGAGCAATAGGGCTTCTCTTTCTCTCTGTCCCTCCACTCTCATCACACTCAGGCTCTTCAGCAATGCACATCCCTGCTGACCTACACACGCTTCCTGTTGTGGCCTCCCATCGCGTACCTTCCATTCTGGAGTTGCAGTCTGGTCACACCTCTTTCACCCTGTGGCTAAAATCCTTTTCCTGTGGCTCCTGTCTCTGATCATGGGCCCTGTGCATTCCCCTTAGGACCATATGGCATTGGACATTAGTTGTGAGCTGCAGTGAGGATTCTCCTGATGGAGGGCCCAGTTACTCTTTGTGTAGAAAATACTGCAATCATATTTTTTGACCAGTGCAATAGATGCTATTCATGCCATTTGACAAAGGATAGACAATTGAAGAGTTGGAATCACATGGAACCAAGCCTGTGGCCATTTTTGCTCCCGTCTTTTTATCTTCCCAACAAGATGCAGTTCAGAGGTGAGAATAGCCAGCCCTGCATCATTTCTGAAAAGGGATCTTAGACTGGAGCAGTGAGCAGCATTCCAAGCTATTGCTCCTCCTGCTGGGATGCAATAGTGGATTTTTTCTGGATTATTTTTTCCTCACAGCACCTGGCCAGATTTGGTCTATTTGCAAGTGCAGACTTCTTTTGCCTGTTTCTGTACCATGTCAAATGTTATCCTGTTCTGTTTTCTATGAGATATCCAGCTGATGGTCTACGGAGAGCTGTATAATTTTCCAACCGTCCATCCGGTTGAAAAGGATGAAAAGGCCTTCTTCAGCTATCTTCTGAATAAAGGGAACCTAAACAAACAGTATCCAGGTTGCTGTTTACAGGCGCAAAATGTTGACCAGATAATAAAGAAGAGGGGAACTCACTGTTCCTATTTTGGTTCAGTGTTTTAGTTTAGTAGAACTAGTAGAACTAAACTTTAAAATTGATAATTTGGCCAAAGTGGACCTATTTACTTTGAGAGCATTTAATTTCCCACAGCTAGATAAATTACATCATATGGCTGAAGGACCTAGCTGCCAAACGTTTGTGTATTTTCTTTGAAAAATTCCAAGGAACAGGAACATTTTATCCTAGTCTCCAGAAAAGGAAATACCTAGGGCTTGGGGATCTACATACAAGTAAGCCTGATAACATTATTTGTGTAGAGCAGACCATTTAGAGGAATTTAGTTTTAAGGAACTTACAGACAAGACAGCAATGGATATGTCCAGAGGAAATCTTGCAAGGCTGGCTTGCACTTTTGATCTGGTAAATTGATTGTGTAATTTCAGTGAGGCACTTGACAAAGTATCCCCAAATCTTCTGATTAGGAAGCTAGTTAGAGGTAAGCTAAGTGGTGTGAAAATTAGAAGGTACTTGAAAATCATGTGTTTCTTCATCAAATGAGGGAGAGATACTTGGTGGGATCCTCCAAGGGTTGGCTGCTTATTGCTCATCATGTTTATTGATGACTGGAGAATTGAAAAGAATCTTTATCAGATCTGTAAGCGATACCATATTGGGTGGGATACCTAACATCTTAGAGCATCAAAATGAAAGTCAGAACTTGTCAGCCCCACCAGATAGGCCAGATTAGTAATCAACTCCATAGGAAGGTTAAAACTGCTTTTATTAAGAACGTCTATAATAATAGAATCTCAGGTCAGATTGTGCTATGTCTCCTGCTCCTTTTCCTTAGATACAGGATGAGAGATGCCTCATTTGACAATAGTATTTCTGTAAAAGATCTTGGAGTAGAAGTTGCAATCTATAAGCCACAGAAAAGAGAAATGCATCAACAATATTTTGCACCAAGTATGGAGCCTAATTCTCAGCATCATATTTTAAGAAGGATTCAGACAAGTGGAAGCAGTTCAGAGAAAAGCAACAGCGATGATTAAGGCAACATAAATTAGACCTGAAAGGGAAAACGGTGGAATATGAGAAGGGCTGGGAATCCCTTCTAACTATCTCATCCTGTGACCTGAGTCCCATTAATAGCCAAAGAGATTCTGGGTAAACAAACAGACTCCGAACTGGGTAATCCAATGTCTTCTCTGTTTTGGGTCTTTGAGTCTAAAGCCCTGCACAGCTCTACTAATTTCCATGACAACGAAGGTCAGAATAGCGAGTGGAGTATATTTCACAGTACAGCTCTAAAAAATCCAAAAGAGTAGGAGAAATGCTTGCTGATTATGGCTTTTGAGAGAGTTACTAACTAGATCACAAAGTGCAAGAAGAATGAATCAATCTCGAAGAAAGTCTCACCTTTGAGGCGATGGCTAGTGAGCAAAAACTCGGCATATTTGGGACAAGTGTTCTGAGGGATGATGAATGAGTAAGACTATTCTTGGCAGAGCTGAGGGAAATAGGAGAGCAAAGTGGAAAAGGTGGGGGGATGCAAGAGGCTACAGGATGCTCCTGGGAAATGCTGGAGATGGACCTTTGTCTGCAGAGTTGTCAGAATGGAGCCTGACTCGGGCCCCTAATTGATCAAATATGGGAAAGCTCATGAGATGCTAACAAATGATTTTTAACAATGGTTTGCTAAATGGCCTAAAGTGGCTTGTTCACAGATAACATTCTAAATTTTTTCATAATTCTAAACTACCACAACTGGGGTTTACACATTATTCTGAAGTAAAAATGAAACAGGCCAATTTATTGTTATAACATGTTAACTTCATCCTTGAAATGTGGTCGTATCTCCAAGCTGTGAGACAAAGAGGGTTTTCTGATGAAAACAAGAGGTGTCTCCCCCTGCCTCGTTGAGCTTTCATCCCTCTTCTCTTGGTATCCTTGAACAGGTAAAAACGCACTCAACTCAAGCTCAACTTTGGAACAGTGTAGAAGGTGGACAGTATAGAAGGTAGTCCTTGACTTACAGCCTGCCCATCATGGTCATAAGTCATGATGGTCATAAACCGGTTGCCCCATGACTGGACCCATTTTTAAATCATTTTTGAAGTTGTTCTTAAGCGAACCCATTGTTTGCTGTGGGCCAGTTTTGAAAAAAAAACAAAAACCCCAAAACCCTGGGTTTTGGCAAAAAACATAAATTGTTGTCGTGTGATAACGGGACACTGCAAACAGCCATAAATGCAGGCCAGTTGCTGAGCACCCAAAATGCAATCACATGACCATGGGGGGGGGCATCATAGCTTCAGAATTGGGTAGTAAGTGGCTGGTGGCCGATCCGTTGTAGCTTTGAACAATTGCTAAGCAACCAATCATAAGTTGTGTCATAATAGTATGCAGTTTTCTTTGCCACTATATCACACTGATTGGCCATTCTCTTCGTCTGCATTGTTGTTCAGATTTCTCAGCTTAGCTTTATTTATCTTTATGGCTTCTATGGCTGCTCATTTCACAGCAGTGACTTTGGGTGACAAAACAAAGATTAAAGCAGCAACTACAGCCATATCTATTCAAACACCTCCATAACACCACCTGAAGTGAAATGCAGATTTGGCTTCATCTTCATAGCTGTCTTTGAGCCCAGGAAAAAATGTGCCTCGTTTATGGCACAACCGACAGCTTCAGAGGGTCTGTACTGGATGCGAGGCACAATTGGAAATTTTGGATCCGAATGACGCACAGCTCTCCTTCTCCTGCGTTCCCCAGTTCAAGAGTAACATGTTTGCCACTAATGCGTGTGGTCTCAATTTCCTCCCTGATGTTGCCAACGTTGCATCAGCCCAGCTGAATTACCAGATGCAAAGTAATGCTGAAATAAATCTCATTTCTAATAATTCTTTTGTATTTAAGCCAGTGAAGAAAAAGAAAATAAAACGTGAAGTTAAGATTCTGGAGAATCTGCGTGGTGGAACCAACATCATTAAACTGATTGATACAGTCAAAGATCCAGTGGTAGGTACCAGGATAAATTAAAAGATATTGGGATTCTTCACCTACAGACTGGAATTAGAAGCTTTTATATTACATTCTGATTTGTATGTATATTTGTATATCTGACTGTGATCAGCTAAGAATCATCACTGGCTTGTTGGCACAGCTTCCATCTCCCTACATAGAGAGCAGTTGGGATTGGATTTCTAATAATTTGGTTTCTGAAATATTCTAATATTCTTTCAGACAAAACTCCCCTTCAGTCCTCGAGGTAGGTCAGGAAAGATGAGGAAACCAGCAAGAATGAGATAATTTAATGCTGCTCGCTATGTCTTTTAATGAGAGAAACCAATTCGGTTCTTTAATTTGAGTCAATTAAAAAAAACTTGANCTATAGGACTCAGGGCGGCTTACAGCATATTAAAACACACAAACGCCATCCCCCATAAAACCAATTAAAAACCAAATATTTGTCGCTGTATAGTTATTAAGATTCGAATTAAAATTGTCCCTATTTAAAATTCTCCCTAGGCCAGACCCGCTTGTTGAAAAAGCCATGTCTTGAGGGCGCGGCGAAAAGATAGGAGGTCTGGAATCGTCCGGATCTCGGGGGGGTAGTTCGTTCCAGAGGGTGGGGGCACCCACAGAGAAGGCCCTCCCCCTGGGGGTCGCCAGCCGACACTGCTTGGCCGACGGCACCCTGAGGAGGCCCGCTCAAAATCATTTTTGAAGTTGTTCTTAAGCGAACCCATTGTTTGCTGTGGGCCAGTTTTGAAAAAAAAACAAAAACCCCAAAACCCTGGGTTTTGGCAAAAAACATAAATTGTTGTCGTGTGATAACGGGACACTGCAAACAGCCATAAATGCAGGCCAGTTGCTGAGCACCCAAAATGCAATCCCATGACCATGGGGGGGGGGGGCATCATAGCTTCAGAATTGGGTAGTAAGTGGCTGGTGGCCGATCCGTTGTAGCTTTGAACAATTGCTAAGCAACCAATCATAAGTTGTGTCATAATAGGTCATACCACCTGTATGCAGTTTTCTTTGCCACTATATCACACTGATTTGCCATTCTCTTCGTCTGCATTGTTGTTCAGATTTCTCAGCTTAGCTTTATTTATCTTTATGGCTTCTATGGCTGCTCATTTCACAGCAGTGACTTTGGGTGACAAAACAAAGATTAAAGCAGCAAGTACAGCCATATCTATTCAAACACCTCCATAACACCACCTGAAGTGAAATGCAGATTTGGCTTCGTCTTCATAGCTGTCTTTGAGCCCAGGAAAAAATGTGCCTCGTTTATGGCACAACCGACAGCTTCAGAGGGTCTGTACTGGATGCGAGGCACAATTGGAAATTTTGGATCCGAATGACGCACAGCTCTCCTTCTCCTGCGTTCCCCAGTTCAAGAGTAACATGTTTGCCACTAATGTGTGTGGTCTCAATTTCCTCCCTGATGTTGCCAACGTTGCATCAGCCCAGCTGAATTACCAGATGCAAAGTAATGCTGAAATAAATCTCATTTCTAATAATTCTTTTGTATTTAAGCCAGTGAAGAAAAAGAAAATAAAACGTGAAGTTAAGATTCTGGAGAATCTGCGTGGTGGAACCAACATCATTAAACTGATTGATACAGTCAAAGATCCAGTGGTAGGTACCAGGATAAATTAAAAGATATTGGGATTCTTCACCTACAGACTGGAATTAGAAGCTTTTATGTTACATTCTGATTTGTATGTATATTTGTATATCTGACTGTGATCAGCTAAGAATCATCACTGGCTTGTTGGCACAGCTTCCATCTCCCTGCATAGAGAGCGGTTGGGATTGGATTTCTAATAATTTGGTTTCTGAAATATTCTAATATTCTTTCAGACAAAACTCCCCTTCAGTCCTCGAGGTAGGTCAGGAAAGATGAGGAAACCAGCAAGAATGAGATAATTTAATGCTGCTCGCTATGTCTTTTAATGAGAGAAACCAATTCGGTTCTTTAATTTGAGTCAATTAAAAAAAACTTGA